TTGCAAATCCTCCAAACTATTCCTTTCCAAGGCTAGCTGCTGGAGGCCTCCACCTTCAGAGGCCCACGACAGCCTTCTGGAAGATTGGCACGGTGCGGGCTGGAATCTGCTGACCCCAAATGCAAAAGACCCAAAAACCTTGAGTCCCGAAGACTGAATGAATCCTCCCTTTCCACAGTCCTGTATATTTCTTTTTTTTATTATACTTTTTTAAAAAAGATTTATTTATATAAGAGCTGGGGTAGAGGTCAGAAGTGTGGGTGGGTGAGAGAATTCACCAGAGCCAGAGCTGGAGCAGAACAGGCAGACGGACCCAAGACACTGCTGAGGGGAGCAGCAGGCGAGGCAGGAGAGGTCTGCTGTGCCATATGGGGTTCTCCCTGGCCAGCAGGGAATCTAGCCGGCGCTGCAGAAGCTGCTGGACAGCATCGCAGCACAGCACTCAACCACTGCACCGGGGAGGCCCCCTGTATATTTCTTATCAGTAGCCCCACCTCAAAATGATATACTTTTTAGCATTTTCCCTGGGGCTTCCTATCCTCACTAGCACCCTCTCCAGGGGACACCACCTGTAACAGTCCTTGGCCTCAGCCATGGGTTACAATAATAACCCCGAAGATAATGAAAAAATCTGAGGACAGATTTAGGCAGGTGAGATGATGTTGAACAAATCACCACTGAAGGATCTTTTCTGATCTGAAGGTTTTGTTTAACTTTGGCTGTTTAAAATTTATTGATTTTGTCAATCATTTACAGTCACGTCATTCTGGGAGTCCCACTTCACCCCTCCATACGTGTACATGCCTCATTCACCCTCCACCAAAGCTCCAGCGCCAGTACCCTGCAACCTCCCCTCCCTCACACCCTCTATCCTCTCCCATTCCTCCTAGCAACCAGCATATTTTTCATAGAGGGTAGGAACTGTTTTTGTTGTGTTTTGCCAGTTTGTTTGCCTTAGTTATTTATATTCTGCAAATGAGTAAAATCACCTAATAATTGTCTTTCACTTTCTGACTTATTTGGTTTAGCATCACCACCTCCAGATTCATCCATGTTGCCCCCAAAGGCACTATTTCATCTTTTTAAATAGCTGAGTAGTGTTCATGCTTTCTTTGTCCAGTCATCTGAACAATCATCTGTCAAAGAGCATCTGGGTAGATTCCATGCCCTGCTTATCGTGAACATACTGCTATGAACACCAAAGTGCATAAATCTTTTCATACTGATATTTTTATATTCTTTGGGTAAATGCCTCGCAGTGATAGTGCTAATCATATGTTTCCATTCATTTTTTTCTTCTTAAGGACTCTCCATACCATTTTCTATAGAGGCTGCACCAAATTATATTCCCACCAACACAATGACTGAGGGTTCCTCTTTTCTTAACATCCTCACCAACATTTGTGGTTTCCAGTCTGTTTGATAAAGGTCATTTTCACAGAGGTAAGGTGGTATCCCCTTGTAATTTTGATTTGCATTTTCCTTATAATAAGTGACATTGAGTGCCTCCCTGGTGGCCTAGGGGTTTAGTCTCAGCATTACCACTACAAACCCACCTAGGGGTTTAGTCTCAGCACTACCACTAACACCTCAGCACTACCACCTCAGCAAAGGCTCACCATGATGTGATGGCCTGAGTTCAATCCCCGGCCAGGGAACTAATCCTCACAGCACAGCAAACCTCTCCTGTCTTGCCCACTGTTCCCCTTAGCAGTTTCTGTCTCTGGTGAATCCTCTCATTCCCCACTGGCCCCCTCTCCCAGTTCTTCTAAGCAAAATAAAAAAAAAATAATATTAAAAAATTCTTATAATAAAGAAATAATTCTTTCTTTAAAAAAAGTGACATTGAGCATTTTTTCATGTGCTGGTAGACCATTTGAATATCTTCTTTGGAGAAGAGTCTATTTAGGCCTTTTGCCCATTTTTTGATCGGGCTCTTTGGCTTTTTTGTTGTTGAGTTGTATGAGTTCTTTGTATATTTTGGAAGTTAACCCTTTGTGAGAAGTGTGATGTGCAAATATCTTCTCCAGTCCACAGGTTGGCCTTTTTTTTTTTTTTTTTTTTTTTGTGATGTGTGTTTTGTGTGTCTATTCTGGGATTCAGGCACCAAATCCCAGTGCCTCTCTATTGCCTGTTTAGAGGAGTATCACTCTCCCGAGTGCAAACTATACTACACAGCATTGTATAGTATAGGAGGAGCCACAGCGCTAGTGCTGGCCTGCCCTCCACCATCGCTGCTGGCCTCTGCCTACAGCCTGAGCCCCAGTGGGGCCACTGATGTCTGGCGGTAAAATGCCCAACACCTGTTGCCACTTATACTGCCCACAAGCAGCTTCTGGGGCCAGGGACTACAGCCTTGAAGGGGGATGTCTCCGGTTTCATATACAAGTCTTTAATCCATTTTGAGTTAATGTTCATGTATGTTCATGTAAGTAAGCATCTAGTTTCATTTTTTTTGCATTTGACTGTCCAAGTTTTCCAACACCATTTGTTAAAAACACTTTATTGTCTCCATTATGGGATAGTTCCTTTGTCAGATTAACTGTCTATATTTGTATGGGCTTTTTCCCCCACCCTGGACTCTCTATTTTATTCCACTGGTCTGTTTCTTTTTTGCAATACCATACCATTTTGATTACTATTCTGTGTAATATAGCTTGAACTCAGGGAGTGTGATACATACATTTTTCTTTTTTTTCTGTCAAGATTGCTTTGGCTATTTGGGTTCTTTTATAGTTCCATACAAATTTTGTAACATTAGTTCTGTTTTCTTGGAAAAAGTCATTGGAATTTTGATAGGTGTTGTGTTGAATCTGTAAATGGCTTTAATTAACATGGCCATTTTAAAAAGGTTTATTCTTGCAACCCATGAACATGGGATATCTTTCCAGATTTTTGTATCTTTTATTTTCTTTGACAGTGTCTTAAATTTTCAGTGTATAGTTCCTTCACCTTTCATTAAGTTTACTCTCCCAGGTATTTCATTCATGGGGGGGGGGGCACAATTGTAAATGGGATTGTTTTCTTAATGTCTCTTTCTTCTAATTCATTGTTTGTGTATGAAAATACAACAGATTTTTGTATACCAATTTTGTATCCTGCTACTTTACTGTATTGTTTAATCATTTCTAGTTGCAGTTTGGTAGATTCTTTGGATTTTCTATCTACATTATGTCACATGCAAATAGTGATCATTTCACTTATTCTCTTGTAATTTGGATTCCTTTTGTATCTTTTTCTTGCCTAATTGCTCCAGCTAGGGCATCCAATAGTATGTTAAACAGTGGTAATAAAAGTGGACGTCCTTCCAATGGAACCAAATAGAAAACCCAGAAATAAACTCACAGATTTATGGTCAACTAATCTTTGACAAAGGAGCAAAGACTATGCATTGGAGCAAAGAAAGTTTGTTCAATAAATGGTGCTGGGGAAACTGTCGCTACATGCAAAAGAATGAAACTTGACTACTACCTGACACCATGCACAAAAACCAACTCAAAATGGATTAAAGAACTACACAAAAGACCTGAAACCATAAAATACATAGAAGGAAATACTGGAGAAACACTACATGACATGCACCTCAAAGACATCTTTACAGACGCATCACCCAAAGCAGTGATAGTGAAGGCAAAGATAAACAACTGGGACTATATCAAATTAAAGAGCTTCTGCACAGCAAAAAAGACAATAACCAAAACAAAGAGAAACCCCACCGACTGGGAGAAAATTTTTGCACACAACACTAATGATAAAGGACTGATCACAAAAATCTACAAAGAGCTGACGAGACTCAACAAAAACAAAGAAAATAATGCAGTCAAAAAATGGGCAGAAGAGCTAAAGAGAAACTTCTCCAAAGAGGAAATACAAATGGCCAACAGGCATGTGAAAAACTGTTCAACATCACTTGCAATCAGGGAAATGCAAATCAAAACTACAATGAGATGCCACCTCACACCAGTGAAAATGGCACATATTAAAAAAACTAGCAACAACAAATGTTGGCGAGGATGTGGAGAAAAAGGAACTCTCCTGCATTGCTGGTGGGAGTGCAAACTGGTCCAACCATTATGGAGAGCTGTGTGGAGATTCCTCAACCTACTAAAGATAGAGCTTCCATATGATCCAGCAATTCCACTCTTAGGTATTTACCCAAAGGACACAGAAACATCAATTCCAAAGAGCACCTGCACCCCTATGTTTATAGCAGCACTATTTACAATAGCTAAGCTTTGGAAACAACCCAAATGCCCAAAAATAGATGACTGGATCAGGAAGATGTGGTACCTATACACAATGGAATTATTACTCAGCATTCAAAAAAGATAAGCACATGCAATTTGCAGCAACATGGATGGCGCTGGAAGGGATCATGCTCAGCGAAATAAGCCAGAAAGAAAAAGAAAAATACCGGATGGTCTCACTCATAACAGGAATCTAGAAAACCTAAATAAGGGACCAGGAAAAAGAATAACTATAAGAAAGAAAATATCAAAATCAACAAACAACTATGAACCAGAGACACACTATTGGGGGGGTGGGAGAGAGGGCAGGAAAAGGCGAGATTGGGGTCAAAATAAGGGGGTTGCAATTGTATGGGGAATATAAAAATAAAATTAAAGAAAAAAAGTGGACGTCTTTGTCTTATTCCTGATCTTAGGGGAAATGCTTTTAGTTTTTCACCATTGATTAATGATATGGCTCTGAGGTTATCACACCCGGCCTCTATTATATGGAGAAAAGTTCCTTTTTTTCCCTTTTAAAGAGTGCTTTTGCGGGTTTTGACGCTTATCAAACACTTTTTCAGTGTAATTGAAATCTTATCCCGAATTATTTTAAAGTAAGACTTGGAGGAAATGAAGGACTATGAAGACCTTGAAACCTCCTGTAGGTTTCAAATAGTGCATAAACTACATTTCCCAGGAGGCCTTGTGGGCGAGTCTCCACATTCCCTTGCTATTTTACCGCAAAGTAAACTGGGAAATGTAGTGCTCCCAGTAAGTCTGCACGTGATGCCTGCGGAGTTAGGGGAGAAGCACCCAGCCGCTTCCTGGGCGTCACAAAATCTGAGGAGTCAAGGTGTGAGCCTCTCTGACCCCCACCTTAGTTTGTTTTGTGGGAGGCGGTGCGTATATTCTGGCCCAAACTGGGAAATGAGTTGGCGGGTTCCGCTGGAGCCGCTCAGGGGAAGGAAGTCCGGATGCGTGAGGCACGGCGAGGCCCCGTCGCGCTTCTGGCGCGGGCGGGGATGTGGCGAGGAGCCGGGGGCTGGGGCTCGGCCGGGTGCCTCCCGCCCGCCCCACCCAGGCTGCGGCCGCCGGGGAGGAAACGCCTATAAGTGGAGTGCGAGTTTCCCTTTTTGCTTTCTCGGCAGAGCAGCGCAGCGGGCGACAGGCGGGAATGCCTGACTTCAGTCGGAAGGGGGTCTGGAGCCACAGGGGTTAAACACGCGACCCCCCCACACACACACTTGCCGCCTCCCTGAAACGTCCACTCTGCTGGCCATGGGAAGCCGCGATCACCTGTTCAAAGTGCTGGTGGTGGGCGACGCCGCGGTGGGCAAGACGTCCCTGGTGCAGCGGTATTCGCAGGACACCTTCAGCAAACACTACAAGTCCACGGTGGGAGGTGAGGCGCTGCCCCGCGGGCGGGCTGGACAGGAGGCCCAGGCCACGGCTCGAGCGGTGGACCCATGCGGGTGGGCACTGCGGTCCGGTCCGCGTGCCCTTGCTCGGGTCAGGAAGTAGGCATCTGGGCCGGGACTTGAGAGCGAGCAGTGGCAGGCTGTTCGGCGTGCGTGCCTCGCTGGGGTTTCCCCGGCTAGGTTTCCCCGCCTGAGCTGATTGATGCCTGGGAAGAGGTAGGGCCATGGTGTGAAGATGAGAGATAGGACGAGGGAGGATGTGAAAAGGGGGGCATCGCAGGCGCAAGGCTCCAGCAGCCTTGCAAGCGGTCCCTGGCAAAGGTCTGCCAGCAACAAACAGAAGCAGCTTGGGTGTTTAGGTGCCAGCTGGAGAACCCCGCTTCTCCCGGGAGTTCCAGGCAGTTGTTGAAAGAACAGAAAGACTCTTAACCTGACCTCTGGGATCATCGCTGTGTTTTGGGGATGCCTGCGTGGGAGAGCCCCTTAGGCCACACAGGCTTGTGCTTATCAGGGCTGTTGAGCAGTATGTTTCTGCCCACTGATTGCCCAAGTAAAGGCAACCTAGGAATTCTTCGAAGAAAGTGAAATTACCACTTCTCTGATCTGTCTTCCCACCCCTTTTTCTCTCCAACTGACAAGAAGAGGATGGAAGAGAACATCAATTCATTCCTTTCCTGGTGTGGCCTTTGGACTCAACTCCTTTTTCAGAAATAGAAATGACTTTTTGTTAATTAAAAGGTATTTGGGAAAAGCTCATGAAGGGGTAGAGTAACTAAAACATTTTTTTTAATCTCCTTTAAAAGAATTTTTTTAAAGAAGAAAGCTTGCACTAGTGTAAATTTTGAAAATGTGTGCTGGTGGAAACATTTATGGAAACATTTATGGAAAAATTTTTTTTAATTACCAAGCATGTCCATTTCAATTAAAACAACTTCCTTAAGAATATCCAGCAAAATTCGAAGTTTAACACTCAGACACTGTTTCCTTACCATTCTGTACCCCACTCCTTATTTCATTGATTTCGGTTAAAAGTGGCCTGCTAATCAATTTTTAGCAATTGCTCTAATTTTCTTTTAGTAAAGAACATAATTGACTTTGGCTAATTTTTTTTTTTTCAGTGCTTATTCTAAATTTCCTCTAGTTTTTATTTGTCACAGATGCGGAAGAATATATTTCAAAACCTCAGAAATTACCCTATTTCTCTCTTTTCTCAAAATGCTTTCCCCTGGCCGGCATTCTCTCAGCCCTGACTCATGGAATCTAGTTCTCTCCAGATGCGGTGGGAGTTTCCAGCCCAGCTCGTAAGCATCATCCTGGGACTCCTCTGAGGAGTTATTTTACCCCCATCCTGCCTGAAGTGATTCCTACGGCCCTTTTGAAGGATGTGACATTCCCCCTAGAGTGTGTTTTCCTCAAAATAGAATTGGGTTAAAACCCAGCAGTGAAACTAAATGTAAAAGGTGCAAAAGCTACCACACATAACTTATTTCCCCCTTCCACCCTATCATCCCTTGCTTGAGAAACCCCCACTAAATCTCCCAGAAACTAACCTAAGATTAGGGGTTTACTTTCATTGTTACTCCTACCTGCCTGTCCCCCACCCGACCCCTGCAAGACAAGTAGTATCAAACTGGGTTGACAGAGGAGCAAAAAATTGGAGACCCCTTGGGGTCCCACACTTAATATATAAATGTAGGTTTAAAAAGAAATACCCGTTGAGGGCTTAAAAAAAAATAACTAGATAGGTAAGACTGGAGTTGCACGACACATGGCTTATAACTGCATATTTGATCTGAGTTTACTGAGAATTTTCTCAAGGTAGCTTTTATTCAGATGTATCATCCTTGTATTTCCAGTGGATTTCGCTCTGAAGGTTCTCCAGTGGTCCAACTCTGAGATGGTGCGGTTGCAGCTGTGGGATATTGCAGGTAGGCTGGGGAGACTGGATAAGTATGAGAGAAGAAATTTTGGTTTAATCAGCAAGTTCTCCAAGAAAATGTGAGGCAGCAAAATCTCCTGAAGCTGGAACAAGTGAGCTGCTCTGAGGATACATGAGCTGAATAAATGCACAGCTTTTGTAGAGGTTTTCTGTAGATCTTTTGCCCTGAATAAATACAAAGGCATCTCTGTGTTGAGTGGTGGGTCTAGCCCTTTGCTGGGTTGTCTAGACCATGGGTGAATGCCCCAGCGGCAGGGGGAGCACGCTTTTACCAGAATTTATTTTTTTTTTAAGATTTTGTTTATTTTTACGTAGGAGAACTGGGGTGTAGGCCAGAGGTGTGGCAGGTGAGAGGGTTCACCAGAGGCAGACTGGGGAGCAGAATAGGCAGATCGACTGAAATACCCTGCTGAGGGGAGCAGTGGGCAAGACAGGAGAGGTCTGCTGCCACACGTGGGTCAGCTCCGCACTGGCTGGGGATAGAAATCATGCCTTTGTGGTGAGTAACACTGAGACTAGGTCACCAGGGAGGCCCCCTTTTACCAGAATTTCAGTTGACCTTGCTGAGAACCAATATCTCCAAGAAATCGAGACAGTAATAGTCACAGCTAACCTTACTATGTGCAAGCACTTGTCTGAGCATTTTAGAGTCACTGACTCACTATCCTCATCCGTAGCTTTTACGGATGAGAAAACTGAGGCATGGAAAGTTGACTTTCCCAAAGTCATAGATAATAAATGACAGAGCAGGGATTTGGACCTGGTGATCTAGGAGCAGAATCTAGACTCAGCCACTCTCCATACTGCCCTCTCTCCCACAAGGAACACAGAAAGGACAGGGTATCAAGGCACCTGAGACTGGTTCTCAGGATCTCCTCAAGGCCTCCTCCTTCTTCCCAGGACAGGAGCGCTTCACTTCTATGACGCGACTATACTATCGGGATGCCTCTGCATGTGTCATCATGTTTGATGTGACCAACGCCACTACCTTCAGCAACAGCCGGAAGTGGAAGCAGGACCTGGACAGCAAGCTCACACTGCCTAATGGGGACCCTGTGCCCTGCCTGCTTCTGGCCAACAAGGTGTGTGGCATTCTACGACAGTGAACCCTGGCCTCTCTCAGGGGTCAGAGAGTAAGCGTGTCTGAAATCCTCTCTGACTCTGGGCACCTGCTTTTCTTTGCAAGTTGGCAAAATCATCTCCACCTCCTTTCAAGGGCTGCTGAGACTTTCTTGGAAAGAATGTTGACTGTCGATTTTTAGATGCAAGTGTCTGTGCCGTTTGTTGCAAGTGTTTTAAATCCAGAGGTATCTGAGCTAGGTTCCTATCCCCAGCAAGTTTATAGAGCTGCCTTTTATTCTCTTTGCCAGTGTGATCTGTCCCCATGGGCGATGAGCCGAGACCAAATTGACCGGTTCAGTAAAGAAAATGGATTCACAGGTTGGACAGAAACATCAGTAAAAGAGAACAAAAATATAAACGAGGCCATGAGGTGAGTAGCTTGTGCTGTTCTGGGGGGCCAGTCCCCGGATCTCCCTGTCTCCCACTGTGGCCCTTGGGCCTTGTTTTGTTTCTGAGAAACAGGAAGATTGGGCCACTGCACACCAGCTCCTGAAGGTTGGGGATGCTGTCTTGTCTCCCCAGACTCCTGGGGACAAAGAAGCACTTAAATCTAGTGGCTTTACTGATGCCATCTGCCCATCTGCTGATAAGACAGATGGTGCCTGCTTCCCCCCTTTTCTCAACCCAGCTTCTCAGGCTCACATTTTTGTTTTCTTAGAATCCTCATCGAAAAGATGATGAGCAATTCCAGAGAAGATATCTTGTCTTTGTCCAGCCAAGGGAACTACATCAACCTGAAAGCCGAGACTCCCTCCAGCTGGGCCTGCTGCTAGTAACGTTGCCTTGTTTGCCCTCCTGGTTCTAGGGGGTCTTCCCATCTCTTCCCTTTGATTGTCTCCCCCAGAAGTTTCTTTAAGTGCATTGAACTGTCCGGTTAGGAGGACCACTATCACTTAGAAAAGACTCCTGCGTCCTCTGGAAGTTGGTCCTCACGTGCGGCTGGCGCACTGGCCCCACCAGTGCCTTCTGAATAAGAAAGGGTGTCTTCTCCCTCCATCAGTGATCAGGGATTTTGTGAGAAGGATTAGAAGTCAGCTTCTGTGCTTTAAGGACCATAATTCTCACCTGATTATGACCTTACTTTTTCATTTGATGCATGTTAATATCCCCATCTAATAACTTCAGATAGCAAAGAAAATGAGATGCAAGGTTATTTATTTCCCAAATTCCTTGTCGGTCATTATTTTCAGGTTCTTTCTGTCTTGGGCTCTGATTCTGAGATGCTAAAGGAGGGGGGATACAAAAGGATATCTGGGGATCTTAGACTACTGGAAGACACCTAAAAGTCACTATTTCTGAAGCTTGTAGTCATAGTTAGATATTTTTTCCTGACTTTAAAGAAGAGTCAGTTATTTGAATTACCTATCATATGATGAGAGCATTTCCTTCCACAGAAAAATTAATTCTCACATTAGGGTTTTTTTCAGTCTCCCTACCACTGGGGTGAAGGTAGGTTTGCAGGTTTCTGGGTTAACACCTTGATGCAAAATGCTGCAAATGACATCAGTTGGAATGGTACCCCCAAATAGATCTGTTCCTTGCAGCTCTGGGAATCTAAACAGAAGAGGGAGAGGTTAACAGAACAAAATCCTGCGGTGCAACTTGTTTGTAAACACTTTGAATGGCTGGCACTTTACAGCCATAGGCAACAAACCCACCTGGGGTGGAGAGGAGACAAAAAATCAGTAGGTAACTTAAGTGCTAAATCGGGTAGACTTTTACGTATCAAATCACTTCTGGACAGTTCGATTTGTTAAATCCTCACAGAATAGTGATTTATAACCTACCCAACTTTAGGGATATTCTTAGTGAACTCAGAGACCTAGCGTTCTGAGAGAGACTTGCCGAAATAAAGTGATCAGAGAGCCACCTGGGAAGTTTATTTAAAAAATTTTAAAATAAAGTGTTTTAAGATTTTTGGGTTCTAACCTGAAACCTAATAAATCAAAATGCCCAGGGATGAAGTGTGGGAATTTGTTGTTATTTTTCATAGCTTCCCCAGGGATTCTGAACAGCTTCATTTCCATTGCTGGAGAGCTTGGGAAAGCTATGAGAAACCCCACTTGTGTGCTCTAGGGTTCTGGGTGCTGTAGTCCTCCATATGATGCTGACACATACCAGACTGAAACCCCTGTCCTGAGAGATAAATCAGAAACCAAATATCAGGGAGCAAATAGGGGAGCCCCACCATGGGTGTTGGTTTGGGGTTTTTCTGTTGTGTTGTTTTTGTTTTATTTGTTTGTTTTGGTTGGTTGGTTCTTAATACCAATTATTATGACTTTTGCACAGTCTTTCGAGACCTTGAAGTTCTTTTTGGTATACCTCTTTTTCAGGGAGGGTTTTTAATGACAATCATTCTAAGGACAATAGAGTAACAAATTCCCCCTTATGTGAAGAGAAAATTGATTTTTTATTCACTAGTTTGAACCCCTGCAAAACACAGGTAAATGGGAAATAAGTCTTCTACTCATGACAGCTATTGGCCTTTAGTGTGACTTTGTTTAAATGCTATTTTATACTGATAGATTAGAGTACTGTGAAATGAAGACTATTTTTTAAATACCTGCTTTAAAAATGGAGATAAATGTTACTCTGTTTATGTCTTAACTTACTAGTACCGATTGTTTATTACCTATTCAGTGCATGATGTACTACCCTAAATACTGCTTGGAAGTATGACTACTTAAAAAAATTGAATATGTTTTCTTTTCCCATTTGCTGACTTGGGATTTAACTACCTTTTCAAGCATTGCCAGAGGCTGACCTACCAGCCCTTCTGGATTTCCTCTCCTAATTGGTGAACATTAGAGGCCTGAAACTAATTAAAGAAGAAATTGAAGTATAACTAATTTCTCTCCATGTCCCTATCCATAAAGAAAAGGGAAAGCAATTAAGATAAGAAGAAGAAAATATTTACATGATAAGAAATGTGATTATACTAAACATAATTAGAACCTATCATTTGGATGCTTCCTCTTGGGTAAAATTGTTTAGAACATAGATATTGTTATGGTCCTTCCCTAAAGAAGGTTCTGTATTTGAGATAAAATGCACCCCCAGCCACTCACCTGGCCTTTGGCTAAAAAGAAAGCGCAAGTATCCCCTGTACAGTATTCTGAGACCCAAGGAAGGACTGAGATCGGAATTGTGGGGTTATGACTGCCCAGGTTCCACTTCGAAAAAATACCTGAGTGGCCAAACAAGCGGGGAAAGAGACCATTGGCCGAGCAAGGGCCCTCAGCAGTGGCAGCTGGCTGCTAAGACCATCTTGCTCTTGCTACTAGGAACCAAAACTGCTCCGAGGTCATTTTCCTGATTCACGTCCCTCGCTACCACTAAGGCATGTTTGGATTTCTCACTTTTGCCTGCTATCTCAAAATTTAATTCTTTTTTTAAATTTAATTTTATTTATTCTCTTCTGTCCTTAAGACACCATCCCACTAACATGAACTTTTCCTGCTTTTAACATCATTTAGCGCCAGGGTCATCACGGTTCATCCCATGCAGAAAGAGATCTTGGCTATGTAGGGACGTGTTTATTAATGCCAAATAACCCCAAAGCTGCAGATCAGGTTGAAAGGCGCTGGAAAATGGTGTGTGTTGGAAACAATTTCCCTGTGCTTTTTTTTTTCTCAGCCACAAATACCAGAGTCTTGAGCATATACCTGCGTGTCACCTTCGTTGTTAGAAAGGTTCTGCCTTCCTTTTGGCTTCAGACACCATCTGAATTCTCTCAAGTTTTATTTGCAGATTTTCAGTATAGTAATGGCAATGCCCTGTATTAGTCAAGGTTCTCCAGGGAAACAGAACAAATAAAAGACGTGTCTATGACAGCGAGATTAGGTGGTAGATGGGAAGGGGGGGGGGAGAGGAGAGGATTTATTGTCGGGAATTGACTCACGTTATGGAGACTGGTGCGTCTGCAGAGCTGGTGTCCTAGTTCAGTCCCCAGACTGGCAGGCTGAGAGAGCTGGCAGGAGCGCGGAAGTCCACCAAATAGGAGAGTTCTTACTCAGGACAAGGTCAGCCTTTTGTTCTGTTTAGACTTTCAGCTAATTGGAGGAGGCCCACCAACACTAGGAAGAGCAATTTGCTTTATTCAGGTTACTGATTTAAGTCATAATCTCATCCAAAATCCTCACAGAAATACCAGAATAATGTTTGACCAAATATCTGTGTTCCCCATATGGCCTACTGAAGTTGACACACAAAATTAGCCGTCAGATGCACTTAGCAATACTTTACTTTTATGCAGTGGTGCTGCTGCTGCGATAGCTTTTCTTCATACTCCAGTTTGATTCACCCTCAAAGTGCATCTGATTAGGAACTAACTGCACGTTAGTGGAAATAAAGAGGACAAAGCAGATAGGAAGAGGAAGAAGGTGAGGTAGGCAACTTGGGGTTAATCATGAAGGAGTAGGAGAGTCCATTAGCACTAGATACCAACGTCTGAGTTGGTCTGGAGCCCTTCCTCAAGTCTGTGAGTTGTGATCGCCTCCTCCACTCTCTTGGAAATAAGAAAGCAGACAGTCATTCCCATTGTTATGTTTGAGGGGACAAATGACTCAAAATCTGACCGGCTGAAAGGCAGCCAGTTGAATTTGTAATAAAACCCAGACATAACAGCAAATCTTCTAATTTCCCCATCTCCATTGTCATTTTGAATGTTTCTGGGAAACCTTTGGCCTGGGAAACCTATTTTAGAAAATTAGCTCAGGCATTTAGAGAAACAGAATGGACCTGTTTGGCCTTGAAATTCATGGTTTGCATCAAATAGATCTGAGACCATGCACAAGTGTAGATTAGAGACATGTGTGGTGAAATTTGGTGCCAAATTAAGTACATCCTGAACAGTTCCACCTACTAAGATATGTCACCAGAGCACGATCACTGCCACTTAATTTTGGATACCTGCTTTCTTGTTTGCAAATACAGATATTTTAACAATCATTCCATTTTTCAACTGTTGCCACTGCTGGTAGCTAACATTTATGTGGTGCCATAAGCCATAATTTTAGGACTTCCCATGAATTATCTTTTTTTCACAAAGCCCCTGTCTTATATACCTATGAGATGCAGTCACGTGAATCCAGAAACTGGGCCCTCAGCCCTACGCTGCAGTGCCCGTGTGTGCCTGGTGGTGGCATGCTTGACATTTTTCCATATAACACATTTTCAGTATGGTGGAATAGTAATTTATTAATTGGGTACATGTGTTTACTAGTAGTTCTATAACAAAAAAAGATTAAATCTACTTATTAAGGAAAATGGAGAAAAGAAATATCCAAATGACCTCTCACCTGGTAACTGAAAAAAAAAACGTCTATTTACATTTTAATAATTTTGCTTTCAATCCATTTTTTAATACAAAGATTTTCACATTTTTGTGTTCACATTTAAACAAGTCATTTTCCCACGTGCCTTTCGTATATCCAATATTGCAACAGGACTTGTGGGGAATATAAAGATAGACAAACAGAGGAGAAGGAGGTAAAGAAAGATTTCTTTTAAAGAAGTAGAACTTTGGATGGATACCAATTGAGAAAGAGGTGGAATAGGAGTTCAGGTTGGGAGGAAAGAACTCTTTGGAAGTTGTCAGATTCTTATGCAGTTTGGAGAGGATCCAGCCAGTGTGTTCATCGTGTAGAGCAATGGGACTAAGGTTAGAAAGATTGTTGGAAGTTTATAAAGGTCATTCATTAATTTAACCAATACTGGCACCCCTATCATGTGTCAGGTACTTTGTTAAATGCATGGGCTGGAGGCCTGGGGAGAGACATTTCTGGCCCAGGGAGGGCAGTGCAGAAGGGAGACAGACATGCGCAAAAACCTCCCGTTGATGCAGGGAGTGCCGGATCCAGTGCTGGTATTGATGGTGGACAAGGAGAGAGCAGGGCAAACCACAGAAGAGGGCGTGTCAGCTGACTCTTGCCAACTGGAGGGCTACAGAAGGAAATGCATTTTGGACAGAATACCTTTAATAAAGGCATGCAGGGTGTGGGAAACCACCTGGCTTGTTCAGAGAACAGTGGATGCTCCTTATAGCTGGAGCTGACAGGTAGAGAGGGAGCTGGAAGGTGGAGGTGAGAAAATAAAGTTAGAGATGGGGCCAACTTAAGGAGAGCTCCATGTGCCATGCTGAGGCACTTGTACTTCCCCTGTAGCAGAGAATTATCACAGTTTTATTTTTTAAATATTTTTTTCTTACTGAAAAATACAAAAATACATTACTTTTTCAAAAACAACATAAATTTATAATTTTATACTTCTGGAGGTCAGAGGCACAAAACGAGCCTCACCTGACCAAAGTTAAGGTGTTAGCAGGGCAACATTTCCTTCTAGAAGTGGTAGAGAAAATTTTCTTAGCTTTTCTAGCTTCTAGAGGTTACTTCCATCCTTGACTCATGCTCTTCTCCCCTCCCTCTTTCTCCATCTTCAAAGCCAACTGCAGCTGGCCAACTTTTTCTCACATCATTCTGACCCTTTCTGCCCCACCCCCATCTACTTTAAGGATCCTTGTGATTATGTTAGGCCAACCCAGATAATCCAAGTTAATCTTCCCACATCAGGGTCAGCTGATTAACAACCTGAATTCCCCCTCCCATATTCACCGGTGCCTGAGATTTGTCATGCCATTTTTGGAGGTCATTTCTGGGCCTACCAGAAATGGGAAAATTTAGGAGTAATGGGGTTAACGAACTTGCCTGGGTCAGTTAGCTGGTCCCAGTATAAATATGATTTTAAAATTCAAATAATACATTTTTTAGGAGATAGAATACTTCTGTAATTTCTCCTCTGAAAGACAACTTGATTAAGAGTTTGACGATTCTTCCAGGTTTCTGTCTACAGGTGCCTCCCCAGCTGTATCTCCCTTCCCCTTTAAAACAAAAAAGGCTCCTGCAACTTGCTTTTTGTTTTTCAATGTAGCTTAGGTATCTCCCCATGTCAGAATATATAGTTCTGCCTCCTTCCTTTTAATTGCTGTGTAGAATTGTCTGGGTGTATCATAATTTATGTAATCAGTTAATGAATGCTTATTTATTTTTCCTCTCTACAAATAGTGCCACACACAATCTCTGTATATTTATAAATTTATGTGAAAACTTCTTGAGGAATACCTAGAAGTGAGCCAAAGAGTGTCCACGCTGTAAATATGGTGCCACATTTCTCTCCAAAATGTTTATACCAAATATACTCTACACCAATACACCAATAGGGTCTGAGGGACCAATTTCTCTGTATCCTAAACAAGACTGTTTTAAATCTTCACCAGCCTGAAAATGAATTTTTTTTTTAATTTTGTCTTTCTTTTGTTATGAATGAATGTTTATAAATATATCATTTTTATTTAATTTCCTCACCTACTTGTACCCTATGTCTGTTTTTATTTTGTTGTCTTCTTCTTAGTGATTTTATAGAAGATCTTGGTATGTTAAGGATATTAATCTATCATACATTCTCCGAGTTCATGGAGGAATTTTTTTAAGCAGAGGAATGCAGATGATCTCCAATTCAGGAAGTTGAACCTTGTGATTTTTTGACTTTACAGTGGTCTGGAAACAATACACATTTGGTAGAAACTGTACTTTAGATTTTGAATTCTGAGCTTGTCTTTGACTATCTGTGTGCACTATGATATTCTTGCAGCTGGGCAGCACCAGGGCACAGCTCCCAGCCAGTCACACGATCAAGGACCAATAACCAAGACTCTACAAACTGTTTTTCACTTCTGTACAGTCGTCAATAAATTGTAACACTTTATTATAGAATAAACTTTGTGTTATTTTGCTGATGATACCCTAATGTAAGTGTTCTGAGCATGTTTAAGGTAGGCTAGACTAAACTATGATTTTCAGTTGCTAAGGTAGATCAAATGTGTTTTCAACTTAACAGAATTTGCAACTTGGACAGGCTTATAGGGACATATCCCCATCATAAGTTAGGAGATGTATATTAGATTTGCACCTCGAAAACCTCTCTAGTAGTAGCTTCAATGCTAGTATAAAGAGTTTAGAATTTATGGGGGAATGCTGAATAGATTTACTGAAAATTTGAGTATAGAGATGACCTGCGTGCCTTGCTTTAGGAAGGTAGTATTGTATGTTGTATCTGAAATCGTGCAAGCCTTGGGCGGGGATTGTCACAGTTTGTGGGTCCTCCCTGTGTGCTTGCAATTGCAGGACACAACATAGACTCAGTGCAACAACAGGGTTTATTTTCAAAGGGGACATTGGAAAAAAAGGAAAGTGTTTCCAAGGCCACTAATGGCTGCATTTCCTCCCCTGATATGTCTGCAGTGTCTAGTCCAAACCAAAAACTGTTCTTAGAAGATGGTGCTGTCCCTTCATTGAGAGCCTGGAGCTCATGACACACCAATAATTGGTGGGCCAAGTTCCAACTCACAGGTGGCACTGCCGAGGCAGCATCAAAGCAGCCAGCAGCACCTCTCTGAGACCAGACTGAGCAGCACCGGAGGCAATAGCATCAGGAGCCGGAGGTGCTGGAGGCAGGAGTGCTGGTCAGGCACCGTGCTGGAGGATCAGAAGTGGCGGACAGCACTTATAAATGGCCAGACAGCTCTTAGAGGTGGCTGGGCACAGGCCAGCATCATTGGGCACCAGGCAGCAATGTGGAAATCAGGTGCCAGTGTACAGCTCTAGGAGGCACAGGCCAGCTGTGCCCGTCAGCAGGCGATGTCAAGGATCAAGCAGTAGTGCATAGCACTAAGCAGTAGTGTTGGTCATGCTGGAGGCAAGAGCCGGGGCCCACTCAGAAGGACAAAGCGAATGTGTGAAGGCTGGGATTGAAGGTTACGAGAGAGTCTCAACAAGTCGGTCTCAGGTGAGTCTGTCCTAAGCTGTCTGCTACCCTATCTCTTATGGCTTTCAGGGCCCCCAGGTTTTAAACCTGATATGTTTTCAAAACTGGCACCATTTCCTAAGCCCGATTTGTGCCAGCGTGAGCTCAAACCTGATTGGTGTGTTTTTAAAACTGGCACGGGTTTCAAAATGGAAACCCCACCAGCGAGTCAAAACCTGCCTTGTGCCAGGTTGGCCTTCTGCTGGGAGTGCAAGCAGAACCTGGTGAGCTCCCCCGCACCACCAAACCCGGAGCCATGGGCTCCTGGCACCACATAGATTACAAAAAAAGATAACACCATCGTGTAAGCATGAATGGAAACAATGGAAATGAAAAATGAATTTGAGAAATGCAATGAGGAGAAACAGAGACTGTCATATTGAAGACCAATAGCGAGGCCTCAGCATGGCATCATTAGCACCAAGGATTTTGCAATTAAGAAAATACTACTGACAGAAATGGGGAAAGAATTGGGTAGGGGAGATGATTAGTTTGGTATAGATAAATTTGTGGGCATCCACGGAAAGGCCTACTAGGCAATTAAGAGATACAGGGCTGGGACTCATGGAGAGAGTGAGCTGACAGCAGTGGTAGAATCTTGCTCATACTGGTCATGCTGGGATAGATTAATTTTCCTCAGAATGGTTAGGGAATGTGGAGAAAGCACAACACCTTGGACACTCAGTGCTTTTTCCTCCATCTATAGCTCTGGGCAGTCTTTGTCTTTATTAACTGTTCCTGTGGCTCACAGAGCCTTGTGTTGGAGGGATACACCAGCTGTTAGATTTTGGATTTTTTTCTTCAGTGAAGACAATGTGACCCCCATTCTACCTCACACAGTGCTTCACAGTGTACAAACCACTTCCATAAGTGAGCCCTTTTTGTTGTTGTTGTTATGCCAATCTTTGAGGTAGGTAAAGGAGTGATATAATTAAACCCATTGCACGGATGAAGGAGCTGAGGTGCAAGTTTGAAATTTGCTGAGGTAATAAATAATCACCACCCGGGAGGAAGATATTCTTGTTACAAGCTCAGTGCTCTTTGCTGCCGGAGTCCAGCTACGACCCAAGCCGGGTTTCAGCAAGGACGAGACGGCTTCGGCCGAAGTGGAGGGATGAGGGGAGGGTGGAGATGAGGTAGATGAGGTAGTGAAGAGATGCTGACATTGATCAGGGTGCAGACATCTCCCACTGAGGGTCTCAGCGGGTCTTTATTTATACATCAGAAATTGTTATTTTATCATTACATCATGCAATCATGATTGATTTTACTTTTATATTGTTTCAAAAATTATTAATGATCATTAACAGTGCACAGTCCTTTTTTTTTTAATTTTCCTAGTCTATGATTAACTTGGTCACTTGGTTACATTAACTTGGTTATATTATTTCCCTAGGTGATGTGTTATTCAGAAAATAGAAAACAGGTGCTATATGCAACGTGATTTATGTGGTCAAGCTAGGTAGCTAAAACAAGACTAAGCAGGCATTGTAAGATCGAGGGCAGCCTTCTATTTCCTATATAGAACCAAGGGGTCCTGGTGCCATGGGAACAGTATGTGGTGTGTTTCTTTCGGATCATTTCGCCTCCCGGGGCAACTCAGGGCCTTCTCTAGTGGGTACTTTTACCAGGCTCAGTTCCATCAGTTGGTTTGTTAGAGAACTCAATGTTATTCATGGTAACTGAATTACAAATTGGAGGACTTGGAGAATTATTGGAAACCGTTTCATTATCAATTATGTTGGAAGGTACATTTTTTCAAACTACTGAGGTGTGCATTACCAAAACTGGCATTGATGCCAACCAACACTCATTGTGTTAGTCTGAAAATTATAGAAAATTTCCATGGTTTCAATAACTGGCACAAACAAATGAAAGGAAGTAGCAGGAGCCAGCTATGGAGCTTTCTGACTTTTCAGAATTTTCCCCCATGCCCGGACCTTGTCAGACAGCATGAGTAGCATTGCCCGCGCCACTTTGCATTGTCTTGGGGCCTCCCCTTTTTAGCAGGGCTCACTTCCTAATATTCTTCTGTGGCTGAGATATATAGGACTGTGACTCCTGCAGTGTGACAAGGGAGTTTTCTATGGATTTTACTGGTGACAAGCAAAACAGCAAGTTTTGATCTTTGGAGTTTTTTCCCCTTCGGTTAAAATTGGACTTCAAGTGGGCCTCCCTGGTAGCCTAGGGGTTAAGTCCCAGTGCTATCAACTCTACTGCCTGAGTTTGATAGTTGACTTCTTCTGTCTCACCTGCTGCTTCCCTCAGCAGTGTATTTCAGTCAGTCTGCCTGTTCTGTTCCCCGCTCTGTCTCTGGTGAATCCTCTCACTCCCGCACCTCTGGCCTACATCCCAGTTCTTCTACTAAATATATATATTTTTTAAACATTAGATTTCAAGTTGTACATGTTTTTGTTTCAGTAGCAGAAATCCACCTAAACCTAGCTCTTAACAGTCCTAAAAGTAGGGAGAAATGTGAAGTCTGGAGCAGAAGAGAAAATAATTTGAGAAATATAACAGGTCTTCTGTCCCGTTCTTTCTTCTGAAAATGGTGGTACAGAGAATCAACAGGTTAGAGGCAGGAGTTAGACAAAAAAAATGACTGGAAGAAATTATCTTTAAGTCCTGGCTAGGTATTCAAAGAGAGGCACCTTTCTGGACACCTGTGGTAAGCAGAAGCTGTGCCTGTCTCTAGCGCTGATTGGCTCACTTTCATATGGTTACAGAACTGGGAGTGCCCAGCACAAAGTGCTATCAAATTTTTATAAAGTAACTAAGTGCTCTACCACAGCCTTGAAGGAATTGGGTCTTTGTCAGGGATATGGAGGCCACATCCATCCACCATCCTCGCACTGCCACTTCTTAGTGTCTTAAACACAGGCAGGGAGAAAGAAAAGGCTACTTCTCAAAATGTAACTAAAAGGATTCAGCATTAGTTTTCAAAATCCTTAGAATCTCATTTCCAGAGAAAAGTAACTGTCTTTTCTGTCTCCTGCAACTTTTGTGTCTTCACAGTTTCTCATAGTTTTGATGTGTATTGTCCCTTCCAGGTGATTTGATGTTGCTTCAAAAACCTTACCTATTACATCTTTCTTTGTTATGTGAACTTACTATGTCTTCAGTTTCCAACAAAGTAGTTGTGGCTGAGACAGGTGCCCTGGACAGCATGATTGGGAATGGGTTAGAGGGAACTGACCTTGGGTCTCTTGGCATCTTGGGAGACAACGCCAGGGCTCTTGTAGGCTAATTGTCCCATAATTTACTTGCCTACTAAAAAATAGGCTAGAAGTTCAAGTCTAGAACTAGATGTTTTCCTCTTCCTAAAAGACAGTGTTGAAATACTGAGTGTGAATAAATAAACAAATGGAAGGGAAATATTAGCTAAGCTAAAGTGAGGAAAAAGGTAGGGAAGGGCCCTAGTCTTGGGAGAGGAAGCACCTTCAAACCTTCAACCAGTGACCATCTACATATTGGCCTTGAGCTATAAACTAGAAGCCCTGATCTGAACCTTCTGCCTGCCTGGACATGCTGACTGCAGTCTGTTCTTTTCATCGCCTAATAAGTAAGTAACAAAAATTCCTCTGCCTCATCTCAACAATACCAAGTAATGATATTTGCCAACACAATAGCTCTAATAAGACAGCATTCATGAGGTCACAGAACTGGAAGTGCCCAGCACAGAGTAAGTGGTCAGTCATTTGTGATCACTGTACTATCCCAGCCTCTACACTGGCATTTTGACAGTAACACGGATGACAATACACTTAGTCAAAACCTATTTGGACATTCATAAGGATGGCCACTTTCATATACACAAGATTAACAAGCACTGGCAAGGATATGGAAAAAGTGGAGTCTTCATGCATTGTTGGTGGGAATGTAGAATGATGCAGCTGCTGTGGAAAAGTGTGGAGAGTCCTCCAAAAATTAAAGAATTAATATATGACCCAGCAATTCTATTTCTGGGTATGTAACCCCAAGGAATTGAAACTAGGAACTGGGAGAGAGATTTGTACATCCAGGTTGATAGCTATGCTATTGACAATAGTAAAAATATAGAAGCAATCCAAATACCCATTGACATTTGAATGGGTAAACAATACGAAATATGTGTACAAGGAAATAGTATTTAGTCTTTAAAATATAGGAAATCTTGATACATGCTACAACATGAATGAAGCTGGAAGACATGCTAAGTGAAATAAGCCCATCATAAAAGGACAAATACACTAGGATTCCATTTATATGAAGTCCCTAGACTAATCAAATTCATAAAGACAGAAAGTAGGATCATGATTGCCAGGAACTTGGGAGAGAGAGAATGGGGAGTTAATGTTTAATGGGTAGAGAGTGTCTATTGGAGAAGATGAAAAAGTTCTGGAGAGGGATGGTGGTGATGGTTGCACAATGACATGAATGCACGTTGTTACTAAGCTGTGCGCCTAAAATACTTAGAATTAGTAAATTTATGTTACTCATTCTCTCACTACAAAAAAAGCATTCAAGGGACAATGGAAGAGGCAGAAGATAATGCTTTTAATATTTCAGTGGTGGACAAGGGGAGACTTTTACGAAGCAGATAGTGGTGGGTTTGTTTGTTTATGGAGTGTCTCTTCAGTTGGTTATTAACAGGCTGCCTGTGGCAGGGACTGAAGTCTATCTTACATTGGTGGATAAACCTCAAGCATTCCCATAGGGATCCTGAGCTCTGCCTCTGAGAGTTTTAGGTATCCAGCAAACTTTCATGGATTTAAATAGAATGATCTGAGTTACCCTTAGTTATTTGACTTTAAAGTCTTGAGCCAACCCATAGATCGTCATCTTTTAAAAATTGAATTTAACAAACAGTTACATAGCATTGACTGTATGCCAGAGACTGTCCTAAACAGCTCATTTAATTCTAATACCCCATGATGTCGGTACTCCCCATTTATAATAGGTTTACAATAGGTTTCCCATTTTACACAGGAGAAAACTGAGGCAAAGCGAGGTAAAGTTAACCAACTATTAAGTGAGCAAATCAGAGATGCAAACCCAAATCCCTAGTGGCCCCAGAGCTCTTGGTCCTAATCATTAGTGTCTTCCCTCCCCCCCCCCCCCCCCAATTTTCTTTGAAATCCTAAAGTTCAGGACAGGGGTTTTTATGCCCCTGAAGTGGCTCTCCAAGTACAAAATGGAAATAGGATGAAATTATTCCTTGATTACGAACCTGGCTCTACTCCAGCAGCATTCCGAGGCCAGGAAAAGGGGTTTGTGGGTTTAAGGTCAAATTATTTGAACCTATGGAATTTCCCTCCAATTCTGAAACAGCCCCTCAGTGACGAATCAGCTGCCTGTGCCCCAGGTTTTGCTATTAGTGGAGTTTCTACAATTATCAAAGCAGGCGAAATGAAACATCATTAAACTGAAACTAAACGATATTGAACCCTATATAATTTTTTTTTCTTGTCGTTCCAAGATGCGACCCAAGACGAATCTGCAACTCCGGAGTGGAAGCCAGGGGGCGGAGTGGAAACCGAGCCGCGACCATTTTTGTTTTGCGGCCATGTACTCTCAAAGCAGCTTGACTAACAGGACCCCACGGAGGAGGCGGAGCCTATCAGAGGGGGCGGGGCTTGGAAGACGTGATGATTCAAACGGACTAATGAGCTCCACGCATCTGGCAGAACCCACCAATGGTCAGGCCTGTTGGGGCGGAGCCTGGAAGCCCTAGTGGGTTCGGTTGCACGGCGGCTTTGGCGCATTTTCGGCTGGTTTGATTCATCCATTTTGAAGAGACGGGGGAGCGGGGGGCTCGTCTGATTAAGGGGCCCTGAACCAAGGAGCGGCGGAGTTTGAGAAGCCAGCAGCTCGGGGTTCGGCGGCAGCGGCCCCATCGGCCGAAGTTGGGGGGGGTGGGGCGCCGAGTGCGCGGGGTGGGGGGGGTCCTGGTCTTTGGCTTCTCGACTCGGTCCTGTTTCGACAGCGAACATGTCTCGGCCTGTCAGGTCAGTGCGGAGTCCGAGGCCTGGAGCGGGTTGGAGGGGATTGGGGGTGAGTGGTGAAGGAATGGGGAACAGAGCCCAGAGTCGGCCCTCTCCCGTGCCACGCGCGGCCTCCTCCCTTTCGGGGCCCGCGCGCGCCCTTGAGCGTGGGGGGCCTTGCTGGCGCGCGGGGCGGCGCGGGGGTGGCGGCCGCGCGCCCGAGCGCGCGCCCCTCCCCGCCTCGCCGCTGCAGGGCCCGGGGCCGCTCTGCCTCCCCCACCCGCCGCACTGAGCGGGCGGGGTGTTCCTCGAACCGCCCGCGGCCGGAGGGGGAGGGGTGTGAAGTCAGCGCCCCCACCCAGGCCCCACCTCCTCCGGCCCGGCCGCTCGCTGCCCACCGGGGACACCGCCGCTCTCGGACTCGGCTCCCCACCTTCAGCGAGGAGGGGCGGTGACGCCCGTCAGGCCCCTTCCCGCCTCTGCCGGCGTGGGGGTGGGGGGCTCAACCCGCCTCGGAGCGGACGGGGGTGTTCGGCGAGGGGGAGGGGCGGCCCCACCGCCGGCCCCGCCTCCGCCCTCGGGTCGCCGCGGGCCCCGCCTCCCGGGTCGGGTCGGGCGGGGGCGGAGCCCGTGCTTACCACCCCCAACCCCCCACCCCCCACCCCCCGGCTGGAGTGAGTGGCGACGGCCCCGGAAAATTGTGCCTGCTGCCGCTCCCCCGCGAAGTTTGGAGCGGGTTAACCCCCGGCTCGCACTTTCCTCGCCTGGAAGCCATTCCTCGGGGAAGCGCAGGGAGGTGCGGGTTAACTGCACGCCCCAAATCCCGTGTGGTTCTCGTTTCCGCTGCTCCCTGCCCGGCGTCCACGTCTCCTGATGTTTTTGTAACTCTTCCCGCATAACTTTGTATTAAAGGGCTGGAGTTAGCCGCTAGATTTATTCCGTTAGACTTAACGAGGATTTCAACAAGTTTGCTGTTCCCAGCGGAAGGTGGAATCGCCCTTTGCAGCCCTCCTGGCGATTGTCTGGAATGTGCCATTTATGGAGGGGTGTGACAGTCCGGGCTGTGAGGCCTTAAAAAGGAGAGCCGTTGCAAAGAAATGCTCCTTTCCATGTGGTGTCCTTGACACTTCTCCGTAAGCCTTGGTTTCTTTGCCTGTGATTTAAAGCTAATAGGTAAAGGTTTAGGTGTAAAGGCTTAGCTGCCCCCATCTCGTTCCTTCCCTTCATTCCAAGTTTTGTGAGAAACGGAAGTATTTTAACCTAGAGCTCAAAAGGGATTTGGAACCCCGGAAAGGGTTTTTGTTCCACACCGTGCTAGCTCCTGACCAGGTTGACTGCCTCCAGCGTGCGGGCGTGAGGGTCTGCGTCCCCCTCCGCCCGCGGGGGCCTTTGAGGAGAAGCTCAACTCCCTACCTGACTGCTTTTCTGCCCTCTGATTTCAACCCGCATCTCTAATAATTCACCAGGAAGAGTTTCCTCGGCTTTTTGGCAGGGAGTCTGAATAGATCTGAAGTGGGGGGGGGGTCATAAAAATTGACTGATGTATCCCATCAACTTACGTATTTTCTTTAAGATCAGATCAAATAGGCCATACAATAAAGATTTGTTTTATCAGAATTGGGTCTTGTCTCTGGAAGTAAATTACAGTGGTGGAATTAGGCTATTTTTGTCTACCTTTTAAGTTCAGTTCACTAGGTTTCGATTTCTTTATTGTCACTTTTCTTATACTCACCCGCCAGAATTGGAGTTCCCGTATTTAGATACTGGACCATGAAACAACTTTCTTTATTTGGAAGCTTTAATTTTTAATATCACCGAATGGGGAGAAATACAATAAGTGTATACTATCAGTTTTTTGGTGGCATTGGGATTTCTGCACAACTTTTTACGTTGCTTAGTGTGTTAAAAATGATTTTAACTGTTTATATTGCCCTAATTGAAAAATGAAGTTAATATATTTGGGGCTTTTTGGGGTCACTAATTTTCAAAGAAACTTGGTTTCTGATTATATTTTAGTGATAAAGTCTTTGTAACTATCTTTTAAAAGTCTTCAATATACCATAAAATAAAGCAGAAATAATTAAACTTGAGTTTGGTGGTTTGTTAAATTTTGCAATAAAAAAAGTCCTGTCCTAGGGAAGTGGTTTTGTTTTAAGGTGTAGTTGAATAATCTATGCAACTTAGGGCATTTAACAAAATGAATAATAGACATTGATGAAATAGTAGAATGATCAACTTTATAGGCTTCCCCCCCACCAAAAAAAAAAAAACAAACATGTTAGAAATTCTACAGTGTCACAGTGCATTTTCTTTCAGGGTTTGTTTCTGCCCTTAGGCCTATATGTGTGTGTGTGTGTTTAATAACTACTATAAATGCTAATTTTATTTTTATATTAACATAAGCATTCTTAAGAGTTTTAGAGTACTTCTAAAGCTTGACACTAATTTCCAAATAAAGGAATAACAACTGGTCAGCTATAGCAGGGCTTTCCATAGACCTGTGTAAAACACATCTAAGTTTTGTTCATACAGTATTGCTAGTTTTACCTTTCACACTATCAGAGCAGTTGTATATAAATGAAAAACGCAAATTTTTATTAGACCTTGCATTCAGATATATAGGTTAGTGTAACCTCCTTAAGGCTAGGAAAGACTTTAGGCAAATTCATTTTGCAAGTGCTTTAATGGAGGCCTGGACACGGGATGTGCCTTTCATTGTGCGTTAGTAGATGCCAAGTTTGGGCCTAGAAACTAGGTTTCTTAATTCCCATTCCTGGTCATCCTTACCCCCCTACTTTCCACATAGTCTCTTTACATTCTGACTAGTAAGTGTTGATGTTGTTGTCACTTTTAACTTTCCAGAGTGTTTTCATGACTTAACTTTGTAAGCAAGGAAGGGAAATGCTATTACTTCTAGAAGATAAGACAAAGCTCAAATTTATTAGTTTGCCCAGACTAGAAACCAATTATTTTGAAATTCAGCCCTCCTTGGAAAAGATTCAAGTCACAAAGATCAAACTGTTTGCCCCTTGTTTTTGTGATATGTGTAGTTGATGTTTTATCTTCTATATAAATTGCAAGGAGGCTTTAACATTGCAAGCTTTCATGTGAAAGCAGGAACTCTTTATAGGTTGACACAAACTCTCTTGGCTAAGTTTATAACAATATTGAGAATTAATGACTTTCCCAAGTTCCATATTTCTTTTCAGAGAATTTTGTTTGGTATGTATCTGTAGTCTAAAAATATATGATCTCTTACCAGAAAATCAGTTTCAAATAATTAAAGGGAAAACTTGAAAATTCAAGATAACTTGGAATTTATGATAATAAGTACGTACAGGGACAACACTTAAAAGGTTAGTATCCTAGTAAATGTCATTGTAGGTGAACCCAGTTGCTTGTATCTTACTATCTACTCCCAGACTGTGTCTATAAGAGAAGTGTGATTTTATTAACCAGGGTCTGTACATTATTTCTAGTTACATGCCACTTTCCTCTAAAAAGACAAGCTCCTCTGTAAACTTCACCTTCAAAGATATTTCACATAATTGTAAAACCTGAATAATGGAGGAAGATTTAATTTTACAGCACTAAAGTATTCATTTCCCAGCAAACATGTTCGTTATAACAAACCTTTTAAAGCGCAGTTTTTAGAGTACCAAACATTTATGTAGATTAAATGCAGAAGTAGGCACTCTATATAGAGGTTATTACCTTATTTTGTTTTATCCTTGTTATAAAATCATAGGGCTTTTTTTTTTAATTCTTTTATAGTATGATGAAACATGCTTTACGAGTATGTTGTTCAAGGTCATAGAACTATTTTAGCATAGCCACAACTTGAACCCAGATTTTATGAATACAAAGCTAGCGTTTCCAGAATACCACTCTTTGACAATGGTCAAAGTTTTTGCTATTAAATAATAACTGGTGAGTGCATTATTCTCACCATAGTTTTGTTGTTGTTGTTAGTACTATGTAGAAAATATTTTAGGGGAAATACGGCCCAATTGTTTTTAAGTATGACCAGTTTTGTTAGATATTTAAAGTAATTGTCAGATATTTTTAATTAAAAACTTAAAAAAAACAGAATTTGAAAATTAAATCCAGTTCCCGCATTAGTGATGACTTTGAAGCCATAGGAATTAAAGTGTAGAAATAATAACAAAGCTGAGTTTAGACTTAACCATACTCCTTTCTACTAGACTCACATTTAATGTGCTTGTTTCCAAAATCCTTAATTTGGAACCATTGGAACCACGTAAGCTTGAAAGTTCATTTTTTGAGAATTTTAAATGAGGAAGGGTATATTAATGTACTATTACCAGTAAGTCTGGGGAACTACCCTTATAACCAAACATTAGTATCTCTAGTAATACTTATGAATTGTTACACTAAAGGAAAAAACAAAAAGCCCATCATTGTTGAGTTCAAATTAGGTTTTACCACCATACAAGTTGATGAAAAAGCACTTGGTTTTCAGAACTTTCTGAATTTTGAAATTGTGGCCCTTTAACAGAAGTCCCTTTCTCAGTCTTCAGTTACAGAAAAAGTAAGACCACTTTCAAAACTCAGTGGAGCGGTCAGTGAGCAACTCTGTGCCAAATGCCCTGCTAGGTATTTCTCACATATTTCAAAATCTTGAAACAAGTCTTCCAGCACAGTTTACATGAGCCCATTTCATGTGTGAGACAGCTGAGGCTTGGGAAAAGTCGCTAGCCCAGTTCTCCAACAGACAGGAGGTGAAGTAGGAATTCAAATCCAAGTGTAGCCAACACAGGGTGGCATGTTCCAATGGAGACACTGCCACGGGGTGTTTCTCGGGCTAAGTGTGCTTTTCAGTACTGGGAAGGGTTAAGTACTTCATAATAGGACTTCTGTGGGGGAAATGAACTTTAAAGAGGGCTTGGGAGGGGTAATAGAAAACTTAGAAGAAATAGGAGAATATGAAGGGGTTAGGAAAATGTACTGAATGGACAGGAAAACAAAGAGGCCAATGCGGGGCTTTTATGGGGGAAAATGTG